ATTCATTTTTTACAGAGAGATACGTACAAAAAATCTTCTGTTCTTAAAAACTAGAAATGAAATATATTTTATAGACTTTCTAGGCTGATTTAGACATAGATAGGTCTGTAGGCCTACACACTTCTGATAATTCAATCATTTCCTATATTTCCTTATTTACTGTATAACATTTATCTAAATTATACTTAAAATCGGACTGATTATAAAACAATGAGAAAAAGAAAGTTACCTGGACCGCATGTTGTTGTTGTCCGACAATGCTCGTCGGGGAGTTTGTGGCCGGCGGTATCCATGTCCATTCGTCGGAACGACGGTAATCTAGGATGGAAAAGTCCATCTTTCACAGCCGCTAACTGGACCTTCTGGAAGGCAGGATACTGGTATGAGTAGCTGGTATATTCATCGGTTTACCCGCTCAATCTTCACTGGTTCGATACCTACGGTGGTCATTTTTTTAATAAGTCCTCGATTTAAATACCTCTTTGAAAATTAAATTACAAATGATTTATACTGCCGCGACAAATCAATGAATTCTTTAAATAAATACAGATAAAAATCCCGTTTAAATAACGTATCTGTAGTAAATATATTAATGAAATTTGAAGCAAATCTTATCAATGTAGCGCGCCACTAAAAACCCCAGGAGGTCGACGTCGTAGTTACTGGCGACGGTCAACAAGTAAACGTAATAAATCGGCTTTATTCGGATATTTCCGTTACATTGTTTCGCGTTGTATGTTAAGTATTGACGCTTTATGAATAACAAAAGTTTATATATCATATCGATTACATATTTAAGATCTTAAAATACTTATATCACCTACATAGCAAAATTTGTAAAATAGATAAGACAAATAAATGTGATAATTGTACTAATATCCATTTAAACCGTTTAGTGCAAGGTCGATTTTAATTGAAAATGAATAATCTTATCAATGATCATTTTTGTATAGAAACTAGAATTAAATCCGTCCACAAGACGGGGTTGCGTTTTAGCACGCTTAATTACGCAGATTACAAATTATGAAAATCTCCAAAAACACGAGTGCACATCAATATACAAGGAGAAATTATCAATGGATGTTCAGCTATTCGTTCGGATATGTAAGAATTTCAAACTATCAATTGAAAAAATAAATATATAATGAAGAGAGAGTTTTTTTTTTTAACTTTTCAATGATTTGAATTTTTGATAGCCAACTGAAACGGGTTTGATACAATTATCATGAAATGGATTTGTCCAGTTTTCATTTTTGGAACTGTCCATCCGCATTTTTTTTTATCTGAATGAAATTTAAAGCATTGTAACACCGCAAAACGTCCGTACCGCAAAACGTACGTATATGAACGTTTTGCGGCGCATATCGTCCACATTTTTCTGACGTACATTTTGCGGCAAAAAGGCATGGTCCTGCCGCATAACGTCCATATTTTAAAGTTTATATAGTTTTCGTTAATTTTGACCAGTTATTATCAGGTGTTATTGTGTATCAATTTTAGTTCACCTGAGTATGTGTCTGTCTGTCTGTCCGTCCAAATTTAGCTTGTAACAACTCTAGCATCCACATACCCTAAGCAATATGTCCAGAGTTATCTGCCCTTGAATTACAATATCTGTTATATTTCGCATTGTTACCACTTCAACGTTTTCATTTCTTCTTCAATCTTGACAATCTTCAACAGAATATCTATGACCATAAAAATCTAATCAAAGTTAGATTATAGGCTAAATCTAACACAAAAAACAAACAAACAAAAAACGCACTTTATTTCACATTGTTAGTGCTTTCGTTTCTTCTCCATTCTTAATTTTTTTATACAGAATATGTATAACAATAAGTCTCGATCAAGTTTATTTATGAGCTAAAACGACTGAATATGTCAAGAGTTATTTGCCTTTGAATAATAAAAATAAAGACATATTTTAAAGTCAAATTATTGAATTGTGATAAAAGAGCCATTTCTTTGTTATCAATGATCAGATGTCATTCATACATTTATGACAGGACGGACATCTTGAATAGTTCAACTATAATATTGACCTTGAAATGACCTTGACCTCAAGGTCACTTTTGAATTTTGCTTAAATTACAACATCTTTGTCATTTACAGATATTTAGATATTGATGACCATTTCAGACGTAGAATTGAGTACTGATATCAGTTACCCAGATTCTGACCAAGTACATGAAATGTACTTGCTTTTAATTTGTAAAATTCAATGTTATCTACCCTTGTAATGTGGAGGCAGGTGGGCGATATAAAGCCATCAGGACCTTTTGCTTTGTTCAAATATAAAATTACATTGTTCAATTATAAAATTACATTATGGCATTCAAACAAAACGATTTGCACTCTTGCTCAAATATGACTAGGCGGCTTAAGCCCCTCCCCCATCACAACAATAGCTCCCTCACTCAGATATGACAAGGCGGCTAAAATCTCCCTCCCTCGACAAAAGCTCTCTCTCTCTCTCTCTCTCTCTCTCTCTCTCAAATATGACTAGGCGGCTAAAAGCACCCTCATCCCCACCTCCGCCCCGCGACAAAAGCTCTCTTGCTCAATTATGACTGGGCGACTTAAAGGCCCCATCTCCATGACAATATAGCTCTCTTGCTCAAATATGACTACGCTGTCAAAAGCCCTCATTCATCTCCCGTAAAAATGAACGATAGAACCAAACCTCCATAGTCAACAAGAACAAAAAATCATTCCCACTTCTTGATGCAATTATATGAAAAGCTTTTGTCCAAAGCAAAGCTTAATTTTTATATTTTTGTTATTCACTTAGTCCAATCTCAGGTTCGTCCGTCCGTATAGCCGTCCGTATGTCCATAAGATTACATTTATTTCAATATCATCGTTTTTATATCTCTGCTGCTGCTGCTGCTTGGTTTCATTTCATAGAAAGATCTATACGAAAAACATCCTCGGTTAAAGCATATTTCTTTTTTTAAAAAAATAAAAAAAAGTCAGAATTATATAGGATCACAAAAATATGGCACTTTAATGTTTATTTTTTCATATCTTTACCTGAAACAATATGGAAGTGACAGAACCAATAAAAGTAACGTTTATAATGAATATATTTTAATACAGAAAAAATGGACGATATGTGGCGCAAAGGCACACTCTCGCCGCAAAACGTACCAAGTACGATATGCACCGCAAAACGTCCACATGTGTACGATATGCGCCGCAAAACGTCCACACGCGTACGTTTAGCGGTACGTACGTTTAGCGGTACGTACGTTTAGCGGTACGTACGTTTTGCGGTACGGACGTTTTGCGGTACGGACGTTTTGCGGTGTTACAAAGCATGCAGACAAACAATAAGTAATTGGGTAAGACTGCACGTATGTTCAGGCATTGGTGGCAAAAGCTTATCAACTTTTTGGTTGTTGCAGAATAAGCAACAGATATTGCAATCGCACGTGTATTATCAATGATTAGAATTGTCCTAGACATATATAAGAATATAATTTACAGGTGGATACAACTACGCACGCACGCACGCGCGCACACATGCGCGTACGAACGCACGCACGCAATTTATACACATATACATACATAATATTGATTTCTCACATACCCGTGCGGCTTTTACGACTCCGTAAAACCTGTATTGCACGGATGTGCAGATATTTTGACTGACGTCATTTTCGTTATATAAACATAGCGTCAAGACGCGCTAAATGTTGACGTTATATTACAGGCTCGTCAATGAAAAATGGTTCTTTTTTTACTTCAAACGTTCTTCAATTTTGGTATGTGATAAATAGAATATTGAATGAGTGTAAGTTTAATACTAAATTTATTGAATTCAATATCCTTTATATATCCAAGTATTCAGTTGTTTACGTTGGTTTTCTTTGTTAATTATAAACACATTTCAAATCTAAATATGTATATACATATAATGAGTAATTTATTAATGTATGAATTTTATCAGCTGTATCACTTTAAAAGCTAGTTAACTGTCTTATAATTTGTTTCAGTTATGACTGGATGCGCAGATATTCTGAGATGGGCCAATTGTTGTCTTTATTTCATACACTTTATTTTATATCGAAATAGCAGTAAAAAGAAAATTTTGCTTGATAAATTTATACAAAGTATTCAAAACGTTGGCATCAGCAATGTCTGAAAACCATTTTTGTTTGAAAACATCAGTGAACTCTTTATTTGAAAATTGATACTAATTCTTTTAATTATAAAGTTCCAGGACGATTCCGCACCTCAGAAAAAAACAAATTTCCTCTTAAATTGTTTTTACTTTTTAGGTCTAGTTTTTAGACCTTTTTTACACTGATATAAAGTATTTGCATACATACTATGATGATATATTTCACAACGTTTTTTGCAAAATTGCTATGGGCATTGGATATTCTGTCCGGGTTTCTTAATTCAACTGAGCATAGAAAAGAAAGGTAACTCTTCAGTGCAAATGGGAAGTACTTGTAGTATGGGCCAAGGAGTTATTTCCCTGTTCAATATGATTGGAATATATGTATGTATATGTATGTTTATGTATATATGTATGTATATGAACATATATAGCTCACCATAAACTCCTGCATTACTCGGGCTTGTTTTAACACATGGAATTAACTTGCAAAATTTCAAATGTAATCTCTCGATGTCTTTAGACATTGTAAATCACAAACTTGGCAGACATAACTTATGATAGAACCAACAAAAGTGTCAAATAAATGAATATAAAATCCTCTCGAGGAACAGTGGGGAATTTCAGTTCACAGGCTTTTAATAGTTTACTTGTATTAAACACATTAATATGACCTATACAGAATAAGTGGTACATCTAATACTTAGTCAGAAATGAGCAAATTATCATATGGTAGATATGATTGAACTACAAAATAAACAAAAATATCCCCATCTTCAGCAGTCACTACAACTTTATCTGTATCATATGATACTACATTGTATATATATTACGAAATACTTCTTGATATCACCTTTTTAAATAGTAGCCTTAATCTCCTCCCTAACTTATTTAATAAAAGCCTCGTAGTATAGCTAAATAAGTAAATATAAATATTTGTTTACATTGAAATTAAACAATACAATATTAACTGAGACTTTGTATAAGAGTGTTGTCTTTTTTTCAAACGCTTAAGTTATACAAATTAAGCACGTGTAAGTGGAATAACAGTAATTAAAGGACTTATTTAGTCAAATATGCCCGCTATAAACTCCGTATTCATTAAGGTATATAACCAGAAACCCGTATACAGACCTGGGGATGAGCTTAAGGGTGAATGGACAGTAGATATAGGAGAGCCAATCAGTGTGAAAAACGTCAGCGTATCCTTCCGCGGGGCTACACTCACTCGCTGGGCAAATACCGAATCAAAAGCAGACGACAATATTGGGTTTGAAGACATCACTACGCAAGAAAAAATTGTATTTCCTACCAGCAACAGAAGTAAGTGAATCTTATAAACAAATCTGCACAAACAGACAGACGGACGTAAGCCTCTTTTTGTTGTTGTACACTGTACAACATCTGTATACTATTAGAGGTAATCATACATTGTTAAGGACAATACTGAATTTTATTGGACGAGTACACAGCTCTGAGGCCTATGTTGGAAAAGCCCTAAGGTTTGCAGCTGTGAACGAGTCCAATAGACTCAGTATTGTACTCAACAATGTATATATAATGATCGACCTCTTTATTTCACATCACCAATTTGTAAAGAGACAACTCATTAAATTTAAACATTCAAAATCATCAGTTTTTGTATGATAGTTAATTTACAGTTACTTTGAGTATAAGATGGAATTGATATAGACTTTTTGGACCCTCAAAATGAAAACGAGGCTAGATGGAGTACGACATGGATTGATATGGATGTTTTGGACGCTGAAAATAGAAACGAAGCTTAATTGATAAGATTGCATCCAATAATGATTTAAATTGGAAGATAATATGATGCAAATGCCGGAAATTCATTGGTTTATTTTCGTTAGATGTGAAACTTTAAGGGAGTGGGGATGGGAGAACAAAACATACATATATATCTATTTAGTTTATATTACAGTTGCTTTAATTATGTTACAGCATTTAAACTATATTTTGTAAATCAAGATTCGTTATACATGTATTTAGAGTTTTTCAGTGTCTGTGATTATATTTTAATATATTAATCATATATTGTCTAAATAGTATTATACAATAAAATGTAACTAAAAGGGGAATCTACTGTACCTAGTAAAGTCTCTTTTCTTTTGCATGGACACATGCTTACGTTAATGAATATCGCGTCTATTTATTCTCGGTCTGTTTCATTCATTACAAACTGAAATAGAAATTAATTGATAATAAACACTATATGTAATATATTCATGATTATTATTACTTATTTTTACTCTTTCAGCCGGAGAAACTGTGGAATATCCCGCTGGGAAATATGTTTACAAATTTAGTTTCAAGGTTCCAACTGGAATGCTTCCCTCTACATACGAGGGTAAATATGGAGCAATCAGGTATATAACTATATATACAAGGAACCAGCCTTTTAAGATTTATTTAATTTACCTTAATACAATTCAAAATGGATAATAAAATGTCTATGTGTTCATTTATTAATAATCGCTTATCTTTTACAATTTAGAGATTGTCATTTAATTACGTGTACTGTGAATTCACTTTATTTCGTGGACATGGATTTTCGTGGTTTTGTTAAAAAAAGACAAATTTCGTGGCTTCATGAATTCGTAAATGTGTAGTTGTATGTTCTTGAAATAAGTAAAATACAAATTATGTTATGTCAAAACTTCTGGCAGCTAACAAATAAAAATTGTTTGACCTATCCACGAAAATCATCAACATTAGTGCTCCACGAATAAAAATGATTTTACAGTATATTTAGATTCCAGTTCAAAGAAATAATAATAATAATAATAATAATGATAATAATGATAATAATAATAATAATAATAATAAAAATAATAGTAATGATAATAATAATAGTAATAATAATAATAATTATAATAATAATGATAATAATAATAATAATAATAATAATAATACAAATGTACATATATCAAGAGGTTATAGCAAACATGGATCCTCAGTTTAAAATGTTATAAAAATGTGTTGATTTATTAGTAGGAAGTCCTGGCGAAACTAGATTTCATAATCCAAGAACAAGTATTGGAAAATGTTATCATTGTACCACGTGATCAGTCCAAACTGTATATACCATTAGTATAATTGAAAAAAAACAACAACACAACCTGATATTAAAAAGAAAAATTGAAATAAAAAAAAATGAAATAAAAAAAGAAAAATTGAAAAAAAGATTGAATTAAAAATTGAAATAACATACTGATGTGTAAGCTCTTGCTGTTTCCATGGTTTCTGTAATGGGCATTTATATGTAAAACTATATTTATAGTGATAAATTATGCTAAATTGAAATGGCATGAACATTATTTTTGTAGATATTGGCTAGCGTTTGACATAGAGAGACCAGTGTTGAGGTCACATGTAAGACGCCTGAAAGTTATAACAGTACTAGATGAAATAGATGTCAACATTCCGGAATATTCCGTAAGTTTTGCTTTGCTTTGAAATCACGGATTTATATAATATAAATCCGTGCTGAAATATGCAATATGATAGTCACCAATGTATAGGAGAAAATTCATCTCTCAGAATACAGGTCTTGTAAGTTTTAACTCCCTTTGACTATTTGGAGCGCAGTTGATTGAATTGTGAAATTGTTAAAACATGTTTGTATGTTTTATATGTATATAATTGCATGTCTGTTTACAGATTCGCATGATATTGATATAGTAATAATTTTTTTTTATTAGAAGAAATATCAATATTTACATTTATAACTCATAAAAATTTACTGGTAAAGCAAGTTTCACATTTTTATCTTAATAGTTAACTTAGTAAAGTAAATATTTCATGGAATATTAATAGATGGACAAATTGAAAATACGACATCTTACTAATTGTTATGAAATGTGTAAAATCACATGACGAATCGAAGTTTATATAAACGCTATACTTTTTCAGAAATATGTAGGAAGAAAAACAGAGAAAGTAGTAACTAAGACGCTTGGGTTTGGCAATCAAGGGGTCGTAACTCTGTTTGCACAAACAGACAGAGGTGCTTATTGTTCTGGAGAGAAAATCTACATCAAATGTGAGTATGTCTGACCTAAAGCTGCATGCCTCCAGATGACCTAAAATATGCCAAGAAAATCAAACTTGTGTGAAAAATGTTCTAAGATTTTCAGAAAAGTAAAATGATTCAATATATTAAATAATAATTTTCAGGTTATGTGCGATGAAAGACCGATTTTGCAATATATTTTCACCATATTTTTACTGCGTAACTAATGCAGTAAAGGCTATTTGTGCATGTTTTGACATCTTTTTGGTAATTTACGTGGATTGCGAGTGCCGTTTGCAGTGTGTCAATTATATTCTTTGTTCACTTCAAAATATTTTACATAATACATTTTCAAAATATTCATGAAAATTAGCTTCAATCTGGATGGGTGCTGCTTTAAAACTGCAATATTTTGATATTTAATTCTCGAAACAAAATAAGTGTCAGTCTTTGATACCGATGAAACTTCATACACTCGGCAACTATGTGTTTTCATAAAAGCTAAAATTCATACTTATTTTATGTCGGTAATTAATTTATTTGAATAAATCATCAAAATACAGCACATAGCCAAACCAATCCCAGCCTAGTCGAAACAATTTTAAAATTGGAATTTCTCTGAAAACAGGAATTTCTTAAACTTCTTGTCCGGTCCTAATAAAGAATTGAATGTCATTATCACTAATGAAGTATTTTCCACAAAGGTCATAGATAACTTTGAGCAGAAATAAATTCCGACAAATTACAAAACTATTAAATGAATCTCACAAAAAATATTGAAAACGGACCCAAAAGTTTCTAGAAAGTTAAAAATCCAAAGATTTTTCTAGAGATTCCAACTAAAGAGACCATCTTTCCTTTTCCGGTACCATATGACCTAAATTGTGTTGATGTGTCGTCAAACCAAACAAAACAAAAACCAAATGCTTGAAAATCAATCATAAGAAAGTTGTGATATAGGATAATACACTGTATGTAATTTTTCAGCCCCTAGTGGTTGAGGGGTTGCATTTACGGGTTGAGACATCAGAATTTAACCTTGCATGATCGTAAAAGGCGTAAATCGTAAATGGGTTCAGATTACTGGAGTCTATGCATCTCTTAGCTCCAACAGGTGACTTGGTTTTGATCCCTGTTGTTGCACTAAGTTTGTAACACTCGTGGTTTACTATATTCGGCGCCATATACCTAAATTGTGTTGGTTCGCCGTAAAACCAATTTATACCAAAACCAAATTTCAGACATAGCAGAGAACAAGAGTGACAAAGACTTGGGTATGGTCCGGATGGAACTAATGCAGAAGGTTAAATTCAGAGCGAGCGGCGAGGAGAAATATAAATATCAATGTCTGACCAAAACTTTTGTAGGGGAAATGAAAAAGGTTTGTAGAATAAAAAAGACATCACTAAGCCCGGTACGTTTATTTTTGCTCCGCTATTGTATGATTGTTTTCCAATTGGAACATTTTACAACCAATCGTTTCCGATCTAAATCAAAGTGATTAAAGGTGCATTAACAGAAATCTTAAAAGGTAACCCATTCGGATATAAAGCTGAAAATGTTCAACATTATTACAAAGTATGGCGTATTGATAAAGTCATAGTCCAATTTTGTTACTAAAGGATTTTCCTGCTCTAAATAATGAAAAAAAAAAAGAATTCTAAACAAATGTTGTTGTTGCAATAACGTAAAATGGCATAAATAATAATAATAATAATAATAATAATAATAATAATAATAATAATAATCATCATCATCATCATCATAATAAGAATAATAATCATAATAATAATAATAATAATAATAAAGCAACAACAACAACAACAACAAAAAAAACAACAACAAAAACAACAAACAAAACAACAACAACAACCAAGTTTAGAAGAATAATTTTTTCACTGGCTTTGTTACAGGGTGTTAAACTGACATCGTTAAATGATAAACTTTTCCTGACAGTTCCGGCAGTGCCACCGTCTACACGTCAGAGGTCTAGTCATGTGATCAATGTCCAGTACTATGTCAAGGTGAGATCTCTCTGTTTATTTCTGTATTACTTTCAAAATATTTGAAAGGATCTATGTATTGGATTGCTGATTGCTTATTTTCTCACTTCAGAGTCTTGTACCAGCATTTTTGAATAGAAACTATGCAAATGCTGTGAGTCAGCTGAAACTGTCAATGTTGAATAATGTACAAATATGAGTCTTATTCTTTACAAGTAAAAATACGCAGACAGCAACATAAAACCATTTATTTTCTCACCTTACGTTATACTATATTATAATTATACCCAGCTTCACCAAGTGTTAGCATTCAAGAAGGTAACAAATGCGAAATGTGATTGTAATAGGTGTGGACTTCAACAATAGTCTTACTGTATGGGTCAAATAAAGAATAAAACAAGTTTAATGTTGACGCTTCACATCAAGGACGCCGCCAAATGATGTGAACAGTCAATCAGCATTGAAAATCGTTCTCAATTACAGTTGAATATCCGAAGCACAAATTATTTTTTTCTCCATGTTCTTGGTATGTGCTCATTGTTTAATAATTAAGTTGCATATTTTCGTGAAAAAGTAGAACCTAATGCATAAATTCACAAAGTAATGCCATGTCTGAAATTCTAAAATCTTTTTCTGTTGCGACAAAGACTGAAACATCTGATCGAAGCAAAATAAATTGGATAACAAGTAAAATTGAAATGATTGGTATACTTCAAATGAATTCAAGACAATATGTGCCGAGAATATATCCATTTAAATATTGGTACGAATTGCATAATGTTCGAATTTTTAGGACGAACTGTTCTGCACTGATCTCCTCTTACTGGCCGTAGCGTAACGAGTTTACGGTTGTGGAAAGAACCGCCTCTCTGATAATGGGCGTGGTTTAGGCTTTTTGACTTTTAATTTAATGATTCGACAAGTGATATTGATCAAAGTTGTCATGGTTTCCTTCTGCCCCGACAACGAAGACTAAATGCTAGCATACGGAGCATCATTTTAACTTTTTGCGACAATTTAAGGCGGAGCCGAACTTCAACAGAGGCGGAGCAATTGAAGTTAGTGACACTGCCTCAGTCGTAACCTCTTTTAACGGTTAAGTTTTAGAACGATCGACTATAGACTGGCTCATTGGCACGTTATTTATTATGTAGATAAAATAAGATAATGATAAAAAGAATATGATATTCAAACATGGCATTATCATTTCAGTTAGACGTTTATTCAAATCCCTTATGGCTCCGTGACATGTTGTACATCAGAAAAGCTATTTTTTATTAGACAATTTGAGAACAGTGTAAAAAAAAATACAAAAACAAAAACAAAACAGGTGGATAAGCGGGTTGGTTTCTTTTGAAGATCATGTTACCATTGAAATAAAGAACAAAAATTTCGTTGTTTAAAAATACTATTAATGGCGGTGTGATCTTAACTAGGGTTTCTACTGTAATTATCTTTGCAACTAAAGATATATTTATAATTCAGGTTATCATAGATATCCCGAAGTTAAACGGCGGAGACTCAATGGTCATTCTTCCAATTACCATAGGAACCATTCCACAAGGTCACAAAGCTGTACCGGAGGAGAATGCTTCTGGGGCAAGCAATATACAAGGTATTAGTTATTTAAGATGTATACATGTACAATGTATTATGAATCCAAAAGAACAATTTAGATTATTACACATGAAGCAAATACTAGAGAAAATCCAAAAGAACGCTTCAAATTAGCACATATGAAGCAAATACTAGAGAAAATCCAAAAGAACGCTTCAAATTATCACATATGAAGCAAATACTAGAGAAAATCCAAAAGAACGCTTCAAATTATCACATATGAAGCAAATACTAGAGAAAATCCAAAAGATCGCTTCAAATTATCACATGTGAAGCAAATACTAGAGAAAATCCAAAAGAACGCTTCAAATTATCACATGTGAAGCAAATACTAGAGAAAATTTAAAAGAACGCTTCAAATTATCACATATGATGCAAATTCTAGAGAAAATCCAAAGGAACAATTTAAATCAATCACATATGTACAGTAACGCATGACGTTGTAAAATTATATTGGTGGAAGCCAATTTACCTTCATGTTTAGAAAACTGTTTTGTAAACTTAATACTGATATTCTTGAAGATATTACATATTTATGTCAATGCGTCTGTTGAATTAACAAGAAAATAGGACATATTGTAATAAATAGTAAAAAATTATACGGTTTTGCAATTTAACTTTCATCTTTAGTATATATTGTACGTTATTCAATAGTGTAATTTGCAAAAATGATTGTTTCAACAACAAGTATTATATAAGCCTTATTCTTGGTAATTTGACGTATATCTGATCAAAATAAGAAAAACGGAGAAACAAATGTATTGTAAGTATTACATTCGATAATGGTCATCTTTTCTTGTTACCATAGTGATAGATGCGAGGTCTGCTATCACTTATAGCCAGTGTGTTGATGGATATGAAGATGGTCCCACAGTATGGTCAAAAGATTTCAGTTTCCCAAGGTTTGCTTACGTTCCATTTTGTACATATGTTCCCGATTTCAAACGACCAGTCGTAAAGAAAACCGTTGGTAATAAAGCAGTCACAAAGCCGTCCAATCCAGTGAAAGGAAACACAGCTGGTGAGAATAAACTTCAAAACAAGTCTGTGAGCCCAGCAGTTGAGAATGTTCCACGTCTACAACCATCAGCGCCCCCTTGCGGATTGCATCCGCCATCATACGAGGATGTATTGAGAGAAATGGAAGGGTACCCGGAGCAGGTATAAACTCCTTTGATACTAGAACGTTTCTTATGTTAATGATAAATCGAAAATTAATTGAGTAAATTGTCAGTAACCATAAGATGCTGATATTTTTCAGTTCATAGTTTATAGATTTATTTTAGCTGGCAATGTTTTTAAAATATATTTAAAGTGATAAAATGGCATCATATGATCAATTCCTATAGATTTGTTTTTCTTTATACAGATGCCTGATGAAAACACCGGAAGTCAGGAACAACTTGCAGGTACAAATGAAAGCGAAGCAGAAGATAGTCAGGAAAATATTCCTGGAAATTTCGACCATCAGGCTATTATGATTATTAGATTTTCTGACGTATGTCTTAAAGAATTCAGAACAAACCTTAAACAAAATAGGGACATGCTGGTTGAGAATGGTGGAGAACTTATTGCTCTTGCTCCTCAGGTAAAAGAACTGAAGCAAGCTCATCATTTTACTTGCATGTACATTTGTATTTAAAGCAGCACGTCTCCAGATTCATGTTAAATTTCATGAAAATTTTGATAATGTATTTGACAGTAAAATCTTGTGAGGAGATCAAAGGAAGTTATTTACATATTGAAATTGGCACTTACAATCCATGCAAATAACCAAAAAGAGGTCAAAATGTGCAAAAAAGCCCTTTTCTGCGTTAGTAACGCAGTAGAAATGTGGTGATAGAATACTGCAAAATCAGTCTTAAACGCAAATAATATGTAAACTTTAACATTGATCTTGATTGTTTTTACCTTTCTTGAAATATTAGTACATTTTTCTCAATTTTCATTTTCTTGAAATATTTTGGCTCATCTGGAGGCGTGCAGCTTTAAAACATTAAAACATATGTTTGCTTATTTTTACAAGAAGCCAACAAATTTTGATTTGTCAACATATAACCAGCAATGTTTTCATCATCTTCTTTTAACTTCATGCAAACAATACAAAGGACTTTTTGGTCAATGTTATTCTTATGAATATGTGATAATTAAAGTAATGAACAAGTTCCAGTCACGTGATAGAAATTCTTTATCTGTACACAAAATCTAAAAAAAACATTAACGTTATATTATAGTGTTAAGTTTCGAATCAAAAATATAAGATAGCGTTCTTTAGATATCCCAGCTGTAATTACGTTGAAAATTATGTAATGTATAAATATAAAATTTTGGGTCTCATTTCGTGCGTTTATCTAAATTTTCTCTTAAATGTAATTGCCTTGTTGACGAGTCTTTAATTTCCTTAGTATGAACAGTTCATATGTTTATCGCCTGTTTGGCCTATGGAAAATTCCTTGCGGCCGTAACATATAAAACATTTTCACCAAGGCATTCAAAACACATATTTTCAACGGAATAAAATGACATTTTGTTTTAACAAAAATACGTCTTTTTCAGGTCATAGTCACCAAAGGCACATGGCCAGCCCATACGTCTATAGCAGTTTTAATGTTTAAAACATACGATAGTGGTGCAGAATGGTTCAAGGGTTTCAAGAAATGCTGCGATGCATCGGGTGTAGATATTTTAGACTGTGACATGATAAAGGCATCCGACGAGGATTTTCAAAATGGTAAGATGAAATGTTGCCTCGCGGTACAACATCTAAATATATATGCTGTAATATACATGATAATTGCTCAGAACTTATGAACTGATTATATATTTAAAATGTGTAAATATGGCCTGTTAATACAATGTATAAAGATTTCTGGTCAGAATAGACTGATAGTAGGACATGTTTACTTATTAAAAGCTATATTTCTTGTGACATAAAAGTATTTGCATTACATGGTATGATAACCCCAGCCTAAGAAAAAAATGTACAAAAAACATAGCTTATTTTCTTTCTTTTGTCAGAGAAAAATGTGTTCTCAATGTCTATTGTAAAAGTTCAAGGAGATTTTAAGAGTGAAGAGTTCAAAAATGTTGCAAAAAAAGTAAAAGATGTCATTAAACCGGCAAGATTTGAAATCGGCGGAAGGTTGATAAGTACCGGAAAGGTAGTGAAAAACCTGACTGAGAAAACAATATCGGGAAGCAGTTTTGTCTCAATATTGCAGTGGGATTCTGTACAACAAAACAGCGAGTACAGAGCCGCACTTTTAGGTATGAAGTTTTGATTTATTATAGTAAAATCAGAAGAACGTTATGACCTGAAACTTTCACGTTTTTCTAAATTACTCAAACCATCACGGAATTATATAGAAGATATTTGTTTGTTTGTTTGTGTGTAAGATGAAATTTTATTTCATCCAGTGGGCTTTAAGAACAATATTCTCACGAGTGACGTAGCCACGAGTGAGAATACTGTTTTTAAAGTTCTCGAGATGAAATAAAATTACATCTTACACAACAAACAAACAAATTTTCTTTTTATTTTATGTTTAAAAGCAAGATAAAACGAAATTTCCATAATATTAACGTTAATAATAAAGTCTGTTTTCCCCATTGAGAGTCCAATTTAGTCGGAATTTCTCATTAAAAACAAAAAGGCTTGAGCTGACAAATAAGTCCGACAATCAACGTTAAATGACGGTGATATTATTCATTTTATTAAACAAAATATAAATGATCGCTTGTTTTAATAATAAAAACAAACAATTCTTGTAGGAGAAAAAGTCCAACCAAACATCCATATTTCTGTTACTTACTGCGAATTTATATTAGACCTGGCTTTGTTGAATGTAAGCGGCCGCCATTTTTTAAAGTTGTGTATTTCACGGGATTGTGTTTGATTCAGAGGGAAATCATTTGGATTTGTTAGTCATACACCTTTTTAAAAGAAAGAAAACTTACTTGAGGATTGTAACAGACAAAAATAAGTGTTGACAGATGTGAAAACATTAAAAAAAACCAGCTAGGAAAATGGAAAACTTGGAGGCTCAGGAACGCTGGGTAGTTTACTTTTCTTCGAGCTGATAGCTGTCATTGCTTTTCAATTTTTCATAAAGCATACGGCAGTTATTGCTCGTAGGATACTTTAATATGCCCAAATGTCATCAAGAGCGGTTTTGCATGTGGAAGGAATGTATTTTTCAGACTGTAAAAATGAAACAAAAAAATTTAGAGACGAAATTTGGTGATTGGAATTTGAATGAATAGAAGTTTTCTTCTTTTTATTACTTTTGACATTTAAGTTATTTTTCAATTTCAGCTTTGCTTTTTCTTTAAACAGCCTGACATTGTCAGAATTGTCAGCCAAAATAAAATTGAGGTACCACATGGGGAAAATCTTAAAAAGGTAGTTTCGTCATTGAAAAGTGTGAAATTATATTTTGATAATTTTCACTGTGAAATTTATTATTGCTATTATAAATTAGAATAATTATTCAATAGTGATTTACAATATAGTACAAAATGTCGTGAGGGGAACCCTAGCGCGATGTGACCGACCGAATTATTCTTTATGATTAAATGCAGTTTGTCTTTTTGTTTGGTGTTATTTATTTTATGCTTTTGAGTGGATTACTGATTTATCCGTGAACCTTATATTTGATAATTTCACAGTGAACATTATCAAAATATAATTTTACACTTTCCAATGAAGAGACGACTTTTTAAAGATTTTCCCCATGTGGTATACCTCACTTTTATTTATGCTTACAATTCCAACATATCCAGGACTGTTCAGAGAAGCAAAGCTGGAATGGATAAATAACTTAAATTTCACACAATATCTAAAAGATAAAACTAACGTCATTTAATTCAATTACAGATCACCAAATTCGTATCTACTAACTCCTCTCTACTTTTTGATTTCGTTCATAACAGTCTGATAATTACACTTCCTTCAACATGCAAAACTACTCTTGATGACATTTGGCCATATTTAAGTATCCTACGAGCAGTAACTGTAATGCAATGTGTAAAGGCAATGGCAGTCACCAGCCTTAAGGATAAGTAAACACCCCTGCGTTCGTGAGACAGCCTTTTAAAAAAATCCATGATTTCCAAATTCCTAGTCGCTTCTTGAATGTACATGTATACACATCTGTCAAAAAATAATTTTTGGCAGTAACAATCCACGATTGACAGATGTAAAGTTATCAAATCCAAATGAAATCCCTTCGAATCAAACATATTTTGTTCTTTTCTCGCTTTTAAAAATGGCGGTCGATTGAGATATCTCTGCATGGTGTAACTTTTTCATATTCTAGAACTGTTTGTTTTAATGGTTAAAACAAGCGATCATTCATATTTTTTGTTTAAAATAAATCATATCATCGCCATTTAATGCTAATTTTTGAACTTATTTTTCACCTTAAGACGTTCTGTATTTATGAGAAATCCGTCTGAAATTGAGGCTTCCAGAGGGGATTTTAAAATTCAAGTTAATTTGAGGAAATTTTATTTAATCAAACTTGTATTTAAGCATAGAATAAAATGAACATTTGTCTGTTTGTTGTGTAAGATGTAATTTTTATTTTATCATGTGGACTTTAAAAACAGTATTCTCACTCTTGGCTACGCGACTTGTGATAATACTATTTTTTTTAAAGCTCACTCGATGAAATCTCACACACACAAACAAACAAATATCCTCTATATCTTTTATTCATAATTGTATAGTCTCAGACAAGAGAAGTACTTTGCATAAGTACAACTCAGCGATGATACAATACCAAATTCAATTTGTAAGGAAATAACATCTTAATAATAAGTTGCTTTGTAGATAAGTATGGCAAAGATATCACAGATTTAAAAGGACTATGAGATAAAACAGTCAATGCGAAAATTTATAGAGGTTGACACGCAATGCTTGATTTCCTGGTCTGTATGAGCTTTAATAGGATGGTATTTGCACGTACATGTGATGATCGTGTTATATTAACAAGCTAAATCGAAAAGTTTAAATGATAACAAATGACAACAATTTCTGACACACCGAGCATTGTATGTTTAACATCAACCGTATACATTATGCCATCATGCACGCGATGATATATTTTGTTTGCTTTCATTGTTTTCAGAAAAATACAAAGACATAATTGATTCTCTTAGGAAATTTTATTCGACTGAAATTCTGGTGCTATTCCAAACTGAGAACACGTGTTACATGCAGCACGAGACAGGTGATGTCAGCTACTAATTCTCGTTTAATTGGTACATTAATAGGATAAACACAGGGCAATTAAATGAAAACATATTACCTATGTAAGGACGTACAAATTAGGAGTGTGAATATCTTGTTATAACTTATAAAGTACGTAAATGATTATAATAAAATTGTAGACACACGTCCTATGTATTCGTTTTATTATACAATATTAAAATTAAAATTGTGGAATGAAGGTGTGTTTTTATTCTTTATAGAAATATAAACTGTACTGTACAGGCCTCAAAAACACAATGCGCAAAATGCTTCATATTCACTACATATTTTCTATTGTTTGTAATCAGTTGGAACTTTCAGTTTCCTAAACGATACGTTGATTTGATAGAATTTTTGCTGCTAGAATGTTAGGGTATCATGCTGGTCTTTTTATTTGATTGGACTTTACATAACACCGATGGGGCGTCCGTGGCCGAGTGGTTAAGGTCGTTGACTTCAAACCACTTGCCCCTCACCGCTGTTGGTTCGAATCCTGACAGGGACTTTGGATTCTTACATGTGAGGAAGCTATCCAGCTAGCTTACGGAACGTCGGTGGTTCTACTCAGGTGCCCGTTCGTGCCTGAAATAATGCACGGAAGGGCACCTGAGGTCTTCCTCCACCAGTAAAGCTGGAACGTCGCGATATGACCTATACTGTGTCGATGTGACGTAAAACCCAACACAAACCCAAAACAACAACAACAACATAACACCGACACAGCTTTACTGGTGGAGGAAGACCTCAGGTGCCCTTCCGGTCATTATTTCAGGCACGAACGGGCACCTGAGTAGAATAACTTTAGATAACTTAGATAAGGGCTTTGGCTCTTTCATTTTCAAGAGAAAATCCTCCAAATTGACACAAAATTGAATCCGCAACGGAATCAGACAAATGGTGATTGAACGGACCGGTTGGCTCGGGAAAATGGTGCTTTTTTCCGAAAATTTATACAATTTATATACGGAAAGAACAAATCGTCTGTCCATAAAACGTACACGCCACGTGGAAATCTCCCGAAAAGATTACTTTGGTGAGGGCTTTGGTCCTCTTATAATGCAAGGAAGACCGGGAGACCCTCAAAACAGATACAAAATCAAATGTGCAACGGAATCAGACAAATGGTGTTTAAATGGTTGGCTCGAGAAAATGGTGCTTTTCACCAAAAATCATATACAGAAAGAACAAATCGCCAGTACAAAAATGCGACCATGCCACGCGGAAACCTCTCTTACAAATTTCTTGGATCGGGGCTTTGGTCCGCTTATGGTGCAAAGCAGATGCCCAAAATGATACAAAATAGAATACGCAACGCAACGCAACGCAATCAGACGAATGGTGCTTTTTAGTACAGAAAGAACAAATCGCTAGTTAAAACGACCATGATACGTGGAGACCTGACGGACATACTTCTTAGATCTTGGCTTTGGTCGTCGTCTGGTGCAAAGTAGACGCTCCAAATTGATACAAAATCGAATCCGATACTTAATGAGTCAAACGGTATTTTAAGGGATGGCTCGAGAAAATTGTGCTTTTTTTCAAAAATTTATATACAGAGAGAACAAATCGCCGTCAAAAACAAAACAAAAACAAAAAAACACGACCATGCCACGCGAAAACCTCACGGACATATTTCTTGGATCAAGGCTATGTTCCTCTTATGGTGCAAAAAAGACGCTCCAAATTATATTCGGACCTAGCCATTCACTGACCGCCTGTGTGTCAATTTGCAATAAGTAGTGACAAATTCCAACGTCGTCATTAAAATTTATTCAAAATGTTTTTTTTTTTGTCTTTTATTTTTATAAAACACATTATACACTTTTTGTATGTTTATCTCACGCGCACAAACCCTGATTTTAATATGTACTTTATCTTTTACGCCGTGACTTGGATATAAGAAAAATAAAAAAAAATTAATCATGGAAAAAACGATTTTTGAACATTTTCATAAATCATTTTCTTCACGTGTAATTTTACAGTGGTGGGCATGAGAGGAGATAGTATTAATGGCGTTCTGTTCACTCCACATTTATAACTTCCTAAAACCGTCAATCTATCATGGTAATTTTCGAAAATTAATGATGATAGTACGCGTTGAAGTTGTTTCGAACATATTTTAACATGCATTCTAACGTTTAAAGGGTTTCAAAAACTGCTGTGATGAGTCGGGTGTAGAGATATTAGACTGTGACATGATAAAGGCATCCGACGAGGATTTTCAGAATGGTAAGATAAATGTCGCTTTACAGTAGGCCTACACCGTCTAAAATATGATCTTTCATTGAAATTTTCAGAGTTAAAAAGCAAACAATTAGAAGCACATGTTATATTTCGCATCACCTAAATGAATTCACCACAAAAAGCATGCAAAATTCACAAACACTTTCACATATGAAGGGCATCAAGATAGAATGTAAGTCGCATCATTTCATTTTTAGAATTTTCAACTTACACGAATAATTTCCCTTTTAAAAGAAGTGAGTATAAAATGTAATAACTTACTAATAAAATAATTTATGAATTATACCTTCTTAGCCTTTCTATAAAGTTGAATTCATAACTTCTAGTTAAACAAAATAAAAGTGACTAAAACTGGACATAGACTGTCATTCAATAACTCGAAATATCTTATGAAAAGTTTTATTCAAACTTTGTCCATTGCAAGTAAAATATTAAACACGGTTACCATTGTTAAGTAAGAGATACATAACGAGTTATACTTCAAAATTGTCTTTTTGAAGATTCTTTATGACAAAAACAATTTGTCTGAGGCGAAGCCGAACAAAATTTTATTGGTTTTATTTTCTAGCGAACCGTCTTTAAACTACACTTTGCTTTTACGACAATTAGATGTAAAAAATTTATATAAGGTATTTTTCATGTCGTAGATGTTACGACATCCTCATTATGTCCTCACAGCTATCAAAGCGTTGCTATGGAGCTACCATTGCGTCCTTTTGCGTTCAGGTGTGTTTGTTAGCAACTGGCAGCGTACTGCAAGCAGTGCGTGCAAACAATAATAATATAAACTCTATAGGTATGCGATAGAACACCACTGCAGGTCATCTTTGTCTCCATGGAAAATATCACATACCTTTCGTACTTTCACGGTGCACTGGAAAATTTTCACAACGTTCTTCCAATGTAGTGGATTGAATGTTGTCTAGAAAAACCAATGGTATACTGACAATTATTCTTCAACCAACTCCATTTAATTTGGTGCACTTTTCTAGTGGAAGACTTTGAAATTATTCTTCACTACTCCCATTCCTGTTTACCCCTGGACAAGTCTTCGTGGAAGTTAACACTTGCTGAATAACTATATATTGTAAGCTGGGCTCTAGTCAAATAAACAACTACACTGCAGTCAGATTTACTATTTCTTATCAATTGTTTGACAAAAAGTAAAAAGATCAGGATTGAATTTTATCGTCTTATACAAGTGTTTTTGATCTTTTTGCAATTGTATTTGACAAAATTATGGAAAACAATTGTAAATTCATAGTCAAGACATGTTATGCTGTAATATATATTATAATTGCACAGAACAAATGAACTGATCGATATATTAAAATGTGAAAAGTTTGTTTGTTAAAATAGCAGGAAATGTTATTAGAATAGTATTAGTTGTGACGTTTTAAAAGTATTTGCATTGCATTGTATGATAACCTCAGACTTACATTTTAAAAAACGTAGCTTGGAATATTTTCTTTCTTTCGTTAGAGAATAATGTGTTCTCGATGTCTATTGTAAGAGTTCAAGGAGATATGAAGAGTGAAGAGTTCAAAAAAGTTTCCAAAAAGGTAAAAGATGTCATTAAACCGGCAAGATTTGAAATCGGCGGAAGGTTGATAAGTACCGGAAAGGTAGTGAAAAACCTGACTGAGAAAACAATATCGGGAAGCAGTTTTGTCTCAATATTGCAGTGGGATTCTGTACAACAAAACAGCGAGTACAGAGCCGCACTCCTAGGTATGAAGTTTTGATTTATTATAGTAAAATCAGAAGAACGTTATGGCCTGAAACTTTCACGCTTTTCTAAATTACTCAAACCATCACGGCATTATATTAGAATAATTATTCAATAGTGATTTACAATGTAGTACAAAATGTCGTGAGGGGAACCCTAGCGCGATTTGACCGACCGAATAGTACTTTATGATTAAATACTAATTTTCTTTTTATTTGGTGTTATTGACGTTATTGCACAGCACTTCGTGTAGAACATGACATGATTGACATTTTGGAATATAAAAAGACTGTTGATGACAAGTCTGTTTCTATGTCAATCCTAGCTCCCTGTAGTTTCAAACAACACATTCAAATTAAATCAGTTCCACCACAATTTGATCTACTTTGTTGCCAATTTTCAGGAGCTAAATATTAAAAAATATTTCATATTTATTTTATGCTTTTGAGTACTGATTTATCCGTGAAAGTTATATTTGATAATTTTATAGTGAATATGATCAAAATATAATTTCACAATATCCAATGGAAAGGCTACTTTTTAAAGAATTCCCCCCATGTGGTACCTCACTTTTATTTATGCTTACAATCGCAACATATTCAGGACTGTTCAGAGAAGCAAAGCTGAAATTGATAAATAACTTAAATTTCACACATTATCAAAAAGATAAAACTCACTTAAATCAATTCAATTACATGTCTACTGACTCCTCTCTAGTTTTGAATTTGTTTATAACAGTCTAATAATTACACTTCCTCTACTCTTGATGACATTTGGCCGTATTTAAGTATCCTACGATCAATGTGCAAAGGCAATGGCAGTCACCAGCCCGAAGGATAAGTTAACAACCATGCCTTTCAAAAAAATCCAAGCGATTAAAACAAGCGATCATTCATATTGTTTGTTTAAAATAAATCACATCATCGCCATTTAATGCTAATTTTTGAACTTATTTTTCAGCTTAAGACTTCATGTATTTATGAGAAATCCGTCTGAAATTGAGGCTTCCAGTGGGGATTTTAATATTCAAGTTAATTTGAGGAAATTTCACTTTAACTTGTATTTAAGCATAGAATAAAATGAACAACAGTACTCTCACTCCTGGCTGCGCCACTTATGAGAATACTATTTTTATAAGCTCACTCGATGAAATAAAAATTCATCTTACACACACAAACAAACATATCTCATTTATATATTTTATTCAAAATTGTATAGTCTTATAC